TCCATTCCCCTCCCTGTCTCCATTCCCCTCCCCGCCTTGTTTAAGTGCACAACCATCAATTTTTACACAAACTCATCAAATTGATAGATTCATCTAAACCTGTAGTAGTTGTAATCCCATCACCATTATGTGGGGTAGCTCAAACCCTGCTAGTTTTCCAGGCTATGAAAGCAAGGTATTACCTCTGTCAGCCCACTTAATCTATTGTATCAATATTTTATTTTCTATTAACAATTACCGGTAATCAAAATCATCAGACATAAAAACCTCACTCTGTTAGATCCATATGGCTTGTTCCTCCAAATGTAAGCTTCAGTTTTAGTGTGCTTGTGTCGTAAACTCTTATCTTTCTGTCCTTCATTTGAAAGAGGGAAAGAAATTATGTTAGAAAAAAGACAATGGTAATTTTATAAATGCTGAAGAAAAATCACACCTAACACTGCTAAAAGAAGATTCTACACTCCTTCTCCTGATGAGGAGAATTTGTTTAACAATCCATGCTCCTTGGGTTGGTAATCGTTTCCTTTATTTTCAAGATCTTAATGAATTATTCAGCAGTATTAAAGGTAACCATTATGGATCACCTTAAAGTCAAATCTCATTGAAATACTAAATGCTATCAAAAATGAAAAAATGTTTGCTGTGAAGCACTGGTTAAGCTGTTTGCAATGCCTTTGGAGTCATGGTAGAGCATGCATCTTAATAAATGGTGGAGTGAAAGTTAACTATGGAAGATCTCTTGGGGTGAACTTTCTTGGAGATGACAGCTCAATTCTTTATTTTTGGAATCACAGGATCAGTGTCTTTTAGTAGCACTGTCAATTCTAATCATATTCCGCCCAGTAAATCCACAAGTTTAAAATTACTATGATAGTATCACTTTCATTGCTTATTTTGTTTCTTTCAATTTTCTTTCAAACCCCATGTAAAAGAAACCTTGATGTTCCACTGATGATGATAAGATTCCAACTTTTAGAACTTACCTTTCCAGCAGTTGAGAAAATCTTGCCGTCATGTGAGAAATCCAGAGCACTTATCTCATTGTGAAGCTCTTCAATTGTCTTAAAGGAATTCCATGCTTCCAAGTCCCAACATGTCATTATTCCATCGGCACCTTATGCAAAAGTTTAAGAATCAAGATCTATAATAAGTGACTTGGCTACTACATAATTAATTTCAGTACAATTTGAATCATTTCATTGCCTCAAATATTCATCTGTTTAGCAATTTCATATTTGAGTTTATATTTGTGACTATCAATGTTTTGTTCTGTACTTACTACAGGGTCAGAAAAAGGCGAAAAAGTTACCTCACCTGTTGCAACCAACAAAATTGTTAAAATTGAATGCACATGGTTTACATGAAAAGAATATGTCTCCAACTGAATGCAAATATTAGACAGCACATTCCAAAAGACGGTCTGCCATTTGTGGTGTTTGGATAGAAAGAATTACCCTAGCTAGTTTAATGGTGGGAAGTAACAAAGTTACAAAGTAAACACTGCACGCACGAGGTCAGTCACGTGCTTAACATTACGTCATTATCTGCTGGTATCTGTTATCCTTCACTGATAAAACACAAAAATCTCTAAACTCATTAATTTACATGGAAATGTATGGGAAGTCCTTGCTCCAAGTTCAAGGATTTCTCAAAGTTGTCATTCTGCAACCAAAAATCAAAAAACAGCTGCCAGAAATTTTTCAACCCAAAAAATTATGAAAAATATGATAGTGTACAAGATATTGAAGGAGGAAGATAAACATTACCAGCTGCAATCAAAACATTGTCTTTAAATGGAAAGAACTTGACACATGTGGTAGGTAAGCCATACAGAGAACCATGTTTTAGTGGTTTCTTCTTTTTTCCTGTGTTACACTCGTACACCTATTACAATAAACATACATATATACAAGAAGAGAAAATATTAAGATTTATAATTCATAGATGTAGACTTCACTCAGATTTTTGCATATCTGTCTGTAATAGAGTATTTACAGTACAGGTTGACAGAGCTGTTCTATTTTCATTCAAGATGAACATTTCAAAACTTTTGAAAAGAATACAGTCAATAAAACTGTCAGCTAAAGAAACAAATGGACTAGTATGGGTGCCTAAACCTGCTTTTCTATCCTTTAAATTTTGAGTTTTAAAACACGCATATGGCTTTGGGCCTGTTATGTCACCAGGGGCCCGTTTCTCGAAGGTCCCAGTAACTTAATGGACCTGTAAAGCTGTTATGTTTTCTTTTAAGATGGAGAGTTCAAGTTTTGAAAATGATACAATAAAACTATCAGCTAAAGAAACAAAAATGACTTCATGTTTTGGGTGCCAGAACCTGCTTCCCTATCCTTTAAATTTTGATTTTAAAACATGGCTTTGGGCTCGTTAAGTTACTGGGACTTTTGAGAAACCGGCCCCAGGACAGCTTCTCTTTGGTGATCAGTTTTTGGTACTTATAATCTCAACTCTAGTTTATGTGCCTGCCTATAGTGAGAAGAGAAATTTAAATGCTGATCACCCCTAAATGAACTTAGCAGTTCCAAGAATGTCAGGAACTAAATGTTGATCAACACTATGCATAAAAAGAACTTTGACAATGCATCTGTGTCTTAACTAACAAAAACATTTATAAAAAATTGATTTGATTATTTCAGATTAATTTGATAGTCTTTCTATTATCCTCCCCCCTTCCTGCAGTCTTAATTTGTTTTCCTGCCTTTTCTGCCTGGCCCTGTGGATCAGAAAGCAAATTCTCTAAACTGATGATTGTGGATACAAGTGTTTGTCATCTAAGAAAAAAAAAATTAACCCTTCTGACATGGCAGAGGGCAAAGTAATCTTTAACTTGTTCACCTGAATTGCACCACTGCCACACCCCGCGACAAAATACTGCTGTTTGGGAGAAAAGTTGACACTGTAAACTCCCATAACATCGCCAAAATCTACTTTAATCAAAGATGGTTTACGACAGCTGTCCTCATTGGTCACTGAATCACTACAATATAAAACATCGACTTAACAAAAAAATCAGACCATGTAAACCACAAACCCTGGTTATTGCACATTTCAATAACATGAGAATTGCGAAGTTGGAAATTGATCATTAAAAATGGTAATGTGAATATTAATAATGATGATGGTATTCGCGGTGCTTCAAAGATCTACACTTTCGCCAGTCATTTTGAATTTGTGATCTTCAGCTGATTTATACGAAATGCATATGGACACTTTTTCATAAAAAGTCTGCGAAAATTTTGGAAAGATTTCCGTTTTGCGATAAAACACAATTTCTTCGTTCCTAATATTTTCAAAATTAATGGTGATAATTTCCAAATTGATGCGGCCAATTTCCTTTAAAAGGTCAACCAGAGTAATTGAACTGCACGTCTGCAGAGTGTCATGTTTACAATTCACGAAAAACTGGATTTAAACGTATACGTATGAAAGCCACTCGTCTATCTAGCTTGGACAAAAGTTATGCCGTAATATTGCTTGAAATCGGTATACAGCAGGCTTCAACCTAACCAAAGAAACTTGGTCAAGTCATCGTTCCATAAATTATAACTTCTTTACCTGGAGATGCTGTGCGCGATATCTTTCCCTGCGTTCAATGCATCTTCTAACCTTCGTCGAGTACCGGAAGACATTATAACCTTTTTTAAGCTTTTAAAAGCTAGGTACAGCAAATCTGATTCATAACTTTCTGCAATGCGGCCATGAAATGGTTACTCCAATAGGTCTGAATTACAGCACAAAAGCCAAACTTCAACAAAACTAAGTTTTCACGAGAGTTGACAGTTGTCGTTTCCAGTCTTTCTCCATCATCGAGTACATGGATGAACTGGGAAATCTGAACGACCCGCGTAACGCGCGAAGGATGGAGGGTCTCTCGCACCTGCAGCCAGGCTCCTCATTCCTCCCTCCGAAGGCCTAAAAACGCGAAAATTGAAGCTGGTTTAGCCTGTTTTGGCCCCCTCGTTGGGGGGCGAATATTTTATGCGCTCTGAGACAATTATATCCTTTCCGGGTTCATTTGCAAATATCTCAGTAATAAAAAATAAACAGAACTTCTAACGGCCAAGGTGTACCTTACATTTTGAGCAGGGTTGGCGTCGTGGTGAGAGCGCTCGCCTTCCACCAATGTGTCCAGGGTTCGATTCCCGGACCTGGCGTCATAAGTGGATTGAGTTTGTTGGTTCTGCTCCGAGAGGTTTTTCTCCGGGCACTCCGGTTTTCCCCTCTCCTCAAAAACCATCATTTGAATTTATTTAATTTAGAAGTTTATTTGATTTACACACGACCCCACAAGCTGTTCAGCTTTGAAACACATCGTGTTTAAATAAAGGTATTATTATTATTATTATTATTATTATTATTATTATCATTATCTCTCGTTGGTTTTATTAAATTTATTACAAATTTAATACATATATGGTGCTCAGTGTATTTGATAAACACAGTTGTGCATGTGTCATTTTTAATCACCACACATCAGTCAGTCATAATGCGGCCGTCACAACATCCTCACTTCCTCAGTTCCGCTGATGGACAGTTTCATCGACATGCTCAAACCGCTATTGTTCTTAATTAAAGTTCATTTCCCGTCTAATTGCACTGGTTAAATAATTATTAAACGGTAGACATTTAAATTATTTGAAATGAGCCAGATAACATGCATCACCTGATCTGTGCAGTAAATAAAAAGAACCAATTCGTGCTTGTCTAAAATACACTAGAAATACTACTAGCAAAACGAGTGGGAAAAACCGAACCAAAAAAAGACACCCTCTGACAGTGAAGTTCTAGTCAATTCAGTCAATTCTGACCTGAAGATGACTTGCAAGTTCAGCGGCCATAGCATTTGCCCCTGAAGGAATCTGTCTACTCTAATAATATTCACTTTTTTCAAGGGACGTATAGTAGATACATAGATAGACACACACACACACACATACACACACATACATACATACATAATTTATTTGGTAACGCAGGGTGCTTGCTGGCAGCATTAAGCTGATGTGGACCTGCGATAAATCTAACTTCTATCCAATTAAAGTAATAACAAAAACAGTAGAAAAATCCTAGCATAAATTAAAATATAAGTATTGATTCAGACTGGTTTATAATCCTAGCATAAATTTCAATACAGGTAGTAAGATAAAATTCCGTAAAAATATTTAAAATTTACCAAATCTTTGTCATGAACTGTATCAGACTAAGATGATATTCTAAGTCGTAATACGCTGTCTGTAAATGATGGTTTCTTTAATGAATACTAACTTGTACCTAACACTAGGAAAAACGTCCTCGAATGGAATATCACTTGGTGGAAACGGTTTCATTTTCTAGCTTAAGTCCTACCAAATGTATCGTTCATGTTTTCCGACATGTCAATTAGTATTTTAGTCAAAAGACAGCCGAGATCGAGTAAAAAAAATCAACTATAAGATTTTCGTAGGTCTTCAGTAGATTACAAATAATACCACGAAGCTGCTGGTTAAGCAGCACTAAGAAACTTAGCATGGTGTACCGTGAACTGACGCATAAAATCTATCAGCATCTTGACATGGCTTGAACAGTAAAAAGTTAAACAGTAACCTTACTCAGTCTTACAACAAAGTAAGCTGATGTAAAATATTGAAATAAGACAAGACTAACTTGCACACTACACAAACTAAAACTATGAGACTGAGAACTACAGTCCAAGTCATTTAAGTAAATTGCCGGGTTATCTGTAAGCTCTGTTGGCCTACTGTCATGTTCACTAAAATGTAATGTCGTTAATTTCAGAGAAAATTTAAGGCTATATCATGGTCGGACTTAACTACAGTACATCTTATCCTTCTAGCTAGACACAAAATAAGAGCAAAAAACTGTACTTATCATCTATAGACGCAAAAGCTTTGATTTACTATTATCGCTTCGACTCCGATGAGCCTTGTACAGCGTGTTTCAATTGAACGACATAACACCAACACCAAAGTTATCACAGTGACCAATCAGAACAAGGTAGACTCAGACAAAGCCAATGAGAACACGTCTAGCGGCCTCAAGCGCGGGAAAATTTAAGCGACCAAGTCGCGATTGGTTGAAAGGGTGGCGCAATATTCTGGGACCAATCACAAAGGACAAGGAACTGAAATCGATGATTTCTCGGATAAAATTTGACACTAATTTAGTTCTCGAGATTGGAGAGCAAGTAATCAAATAACAATAACAAAGCAACAACTACCAAGCACAAATTATTTTATTTTAAAATCAAATACACTGCGAAAAAGGAGTTCCAGATATTGTTTAAAAAATCATTTACAAGCTACAGTGCATTTTGATATTAACCACATAGGCGGTGGACGCTACTTCATGCATGATGGAGGTGAAGATTACTTTGTCCCATAGGAACCACTGTCTCACAGGGGTAAACTACATTGCTAACCTTGCCACTCTCTCTCTCTCTCGTATCATATCAGTGTGAACTACAGCACTGACTTTTAATCCTTTTTTTTAAGAAACCTTAAGTTGCGGTCTATCCTATTTCGACAATTTAAAAAAAAAAGAAACCCTGTTGGGAAACTCTCGTTCATTAGGCTAACGAACGCAGGAAAATAAGTATGAAGAGGGCCTTGGGGGGGAGGGAAGTGGTAGAGGGGGGAAGTGGTGGAGGGAGGAAGTGGTAGAGGGGGGAAGTGGTAGAGGAGTGTTTAGTTCTAATCTTAACACCCAACTGAGGGGGGGGATATGGTCTTTTCACCCTACCCCCAAACCTCACTTCATTCTATCCAAGACCCTCTTAAATGACCTTTCTATGGGTTGACTATTAACATTAAGTCTACAGTCTACTGAGTAGTGTAATAGCTTATTCCCGGCTTAGTTTATCAAGCCTAAACAAGAAGTACTACTGTACGCGGCTGCATTTATTACTTGGATTATTTCATAACTGCTCAGATGTTGGTATTTCCTCCGTGGCCTTGGCCATGTTGGCTGTCAGGCTTCAGAAGAGCTAAAGATCCTGAAATAAACAGAAAAGATCTCGTGTCGGTAAACTAAAACGACTGCAACAGTGACAAAAGCAACAAAAACATCCCATCCCTTCCCCCCCCCAAAAAAAGGAAAAAAAACTCAAGCCATAAACATTTCTACGATTTTTTCTCCCAGCATAAGAATTAGAGGAGCAGTATTTAACTGTTTCTAAGTAAATTCACCGTAGAATATGGCAGCGCGAACACAGGTGCCCCAAGCTCTCTCGATGAGTAGGTTATGCGTTAAACCGCATTCTTTATGAGAGGAAAAACTACTCTCAGGGAGAGCTTAGGCGCAACTCAATCTTGTTGACTGACCGTTAAATCAGGCAATCGCATCACGTGTTTCATCACGTGTTTCTTATAATTCTACCAACGACTGTGGTCGGATAGTGAAGCCATCCCACTTCAGCTGACTTTTAAAAAAAAATTCCCATCACGTTTGATACTTAACTGATTACTAGTCTTCATTTACGGTCAAGAGAGAGAGAGACTGCAGGGTCTGTCGCGTTTCTGCACTTTGCTCACTTACCCTTTCCGAAGTTGTCTATGAGTTCGTCGTCACTGTCGGGGTCTGGTACTGAGCTGGTGGGTACCGGCACATAACGCAACGATCCCCCTGGCTGCGGATGCAAATACTCGTCACCCTCACTTTCATCGTTTTCTACCAAGGGGTCCCTCAGTTGTGCGCCGTCACTGTATAAACGGAGGTGAGTGTAGCGGCTTCGTAAAAGGTTGTAGCGTCTGGAAAGGGAGCACAAGGGAGTTGTTAGCTACTGACTGAAATCGGTCCTGAGTTTCGGTCCTTGAGGAGAAAGATTAAACCTCTAACTCTCGAAATCAGAGGGCGAATACTCCCGACTGATGAAAATAAAACTCTTTTTCTTTGGACTCGCGCGATGGACTTTGCCGAAAAGGAGGGATTTTGTAGTCTACCAACCACAGGTCAAATTAATACTTATTTCATTAAATTGTGATCAGATTCCTAAACGGAGCGAAGAACCAACATAGAGTTGCCTCGCTGCGAGGAACATTTCCCCTCTTAACTCCATCCGTAAGTCAACACCTAATTTATTTTAACAAAATTATTGGCCCGTCATGACATTCACAAACCTGAGGAAATACACCAGAGTCCCTACGAGAAACACGACCACAAGCGCGGCAGCGATGCCAACACCAATTGCCAACCGCGTTCCGGAATCGGAAGACTCTGTTGGATATACAACATCACCACCATAGTCTGCGAAACAAAAAGAATAAGGGGGCTTTTCACTGTCTTGCAAATCGGAGCGAACACGCAATATACAGTAAATGGAAATTAAACGCTATGAGAGTCCTCCAAATGTTCAACGTCTCTAGCGGCGCCAGACCCCCTCAACTTAAGCATATGTAAACAGCGCGGAGGAAACTCAAATAAGTCGCCGTCGCGGTTTCTGCCCTCTGACCACGCAATTTTTATTTTTGCTGAGCCGTTGCTGTGCCCTTCTTTTGCTTGTTTATTTCGCAACGTTCTCGTCGCCGTCGCCGTCGTGGTTAACAATAGTGGCTGCAAACAATTCTCCTACGCACTTACCGGCTATCTTAATAGCATTAAAACACCAACATTCCTCTTTTAGTCGTATGTTTCTCACACACGTTGTGGGTGGAAACAAAGGGCAGAAGTTTGAAATAGTGCGCGTGGCAGGCATGCAATCAGTATAACCATGCTAATATTTTGGAGAAATCCCGTTTAACAGTTTTGGGCGACGGTCTCCAAAAATTCTTGATAGAATATCTCAAAACTTCGGGGTTTTTTCTTTTTGAGATAAGGCCTCGCTGCTGAATGATTATGAAAAAATTAAACTTCACCGTTTCAAAATTATGATGCCGCTAAGCTTAGAGCCGTTTTAACTTCCGGGATATGATATTGTTTACGGAGAAAGCCCTAAATTAAGTTATATTCGATAGACCTTTTTTTTTTGGCAGGAAAAGACAACAGGTGTCAACTCCAGTCTTGTGCCCAGCAAAAGGTTAAGAAAAGAAAGGTAAACGTTTCTTGGCCTCCTCACTACGCTCTCAATTTCAAATAAGAAAGAAATTGAAGTTGGATATCGACAGCGTCACACAAATTAACGGTGACATGTGTAAATTCGTGCAAATCAAAGAAGAAAATGACGAAAGCTGTCAAATTCATACCTTTTAAAGGACTGAAAACCGATGTAGGCAAACTACTACTAATTCTTGTCGTCTTCACGCGGCCCCCATCGTCTAAATGTCAAAGAGTTAATGTACATTGTTTTATTGATGTTGTACTTCAAGTAGAGAAAATTAGGAAAAAAATCCTAGGAGCCATTTCCGACAAAAAAATCCTAAGAGTCATTTCCGACAAAAACAGACTTACCTTTAAAAAACATTTGTTTTTATATTCGCCAAGCTGTGGCTTGTCGAAGATACGAGGAATTGATTGAAAATTTAGTACAATTGCTCAGGATATATTACAAATTCGTCAGATGAACTTGATTTAAAGCTCTTTCTGTTGATGTTTTCACGTTGAAGCTGAAAATCAAGACTAAACTTAATGGTGTTATTCTTTTGAAAAAGCTGGATTAAATTTGTTGAAACTCAATCAACAGCGACGCCGTACTCGAAACCCAAATGAAGTTGAGAAAAAAAGGTATCGTAGATTTTACGATATCGCGCCAAAACAACTGTAAATAATATTTCCCCATAACATTGGCATATCAATGGTGGTGCAACGTCCAATGTTTCAACTCTTTGGTGAACACAAGCGTGAAATTCGTTTGACTGTAAACAAGGAAAGTTGGCTTTTGAGTATTTTAAGCGCTATGAATATAGTTGGTAGTAGTCTAGCAAAATTCTTTCCAGTCACCTTAAAGTCCTACATAAGATATCTGTAGCAAGACTGACACAATTTGCCAAACCAAGAATTTAGAGATGATATCCACATTAACATATTCAAACATAATTTTATAAAAGTGAATGTAAATCAATCGAAGGAACTCATTTATTTCTTCCTTTATTAACCATATTCACTATACAGTTATCGTTTATTCAATAACGCTTCAGTTTAACTTAAAATACCATAGTTTGTATTGAAAAAGCTGTTGATTTATATATATATATATATATATATATATATATAGTAGCAAATGGACTACTCAAGTGACGCACATATGGATTTTAATACAGCCTGTTTCGTAGACCAACAAAAGTTGATCCACTCATCAGTTAAACTCCATACACACTGAGGCATCGTGACGGTTAACTCTAACTCAGCAACGTGATCACATGGCATTGTTTAAAAAATTCAAATCTTGAAAACCGTGCGCGCGCCGATAATAGCGTTAAGAATACCTGAGAATATATTTTCGCCGATGTCTACAATTGGATATTATTTCACTTCGCTTGTTTAAAGAGGCTTCATG